CGAGCAGCACCTCGGCGAACGGGTCGAGCATCTCACGGTCGGCCGCGACGGCGCGCTCGCGCTTCAGGCTGAGCAGCAGCAGCTGCAGGCCGAACTCGACAAGCACGTGCGCATTGGTGGCGGCGGCGGTTGCGGTTGGCACGCCGCGTGCCGCGGCCAGGGGGCGCCGCGCAGCAGCGCGCGTTCACCGGCTGCAGCCGCTTGTCCGGCGGCCAGCTCTCTCGAGCTGCCGTGTCTTCTTTGCGGCGCTGATCCGGGACAGGCTCTCGCTGGAGAGCGCGTGAGCGCACTGCAGTATGTGGGACAGCGGCATCGCGTGTTGTCGACCAGGCGAGCGCGATCCGCGATAGAACGTCCTGAACCTCTTGACGACCTTGTGCTCTTGGCCTCGTCCAAGACCTACGTTAAGAGACAACGCTAATAGTACGAGAGAATGACGTTAATTGAGATCACGAGAAAAAATGAAGTCGAGATAGAATAAAATGATAAATAACAATATTGATTGTAAATTAGTGAAGCAAATGAAAATGAAAATTATGATAAAATTCAAAATTTAAAGAAAAATTCGCATCGTCCAAGACCTACGTTACAAGAACAACGTTAATTGAGATGGGAAAATGATAGGAAATGAGGAAGGAATTATAGAGAATTATAGGGAATTATAGATTAAAGGAATAATATGGCCATTGATTATGCAATGTTGACAATGCTAGAGTAACTGGCACCTTGTGTAGTTAATAAGTACATTACCTATAGCCAAACGCGTATTAGCTTGTTCAATATCACTGCTGGTTACTAAGAAATGTCTATTTGAAAATCCGCAGTCGAAGAAATGTTTACAGTTTACCGTTTCACTTTCAAATTAGCTGCCTGCATGACACGAAGTATTTGCTAGTCTAGTACTGGAGAAATTAGCGTTTGGATGCGCATTGTGAGCCTTCAATATTGTTTTAGATTCTTCAATACAGAAATTTGACTGGAATATTTTATTGCTTTTATTTGCGCGATAAGCGAAAACCAAAAAACCGAAGTGTGTATATTTTTATGTAAAAAAATTCGTGGATTGCAGCCAGTCTGCCTTACATTAACTTGAATAATGTTGAGAAAGCAATCGCTTTGAGGATTTTTAACAGGATGGAAAGTAGTTAATCATTTGAAATTCCCCTGAGCTTGAGCTGAATTGTAATGTCATGCTGTCAATCATTATTTATTTCTCCTGTTTCATGTTTCATAATATGTGGCACTTGTTTTTTTTTCATATTGGCGATCCAGTGTTCCCCATTTAGTTGTTCCCGTTTCATCTGCAATAACGTGTGCATATTTTGTTTGTAAAACATTTCGTTTGCATTTCACTTCTAGGTAATCACAGATCCCCAGGCAGCAGTTAGGAAAAAGATCAAGAGAAATCTCAAGAAGCAGGACAACAGAAAGAGAAAGATAGAAACGAAGAGACCTGGCAAGAAAATAAACAAAAGAAAGAAACTGTCAGAAATGGCCATACAAATGGATTGAAGAGAGACTTTAGGAAGGTAAAAATTACCAATCTGCGATACTTTTTCATGTCCTGAATATATGGTTTACTAATGTCAAGTTTGTAAATAACATTTAATGTGTTATAAGCTTAGCATAAATGTTTTCTGTAGTTATACAAGAACCTTAATTTTCCGATGAGCAAGTATTTTCGTGATTTTCTCGAGGAACGAAATGTTGCTTTTTAACGGTACTGTTTGTTATATTGTTGCAGTTGATCGTGAGATATGCAAAAGGACTTTGTTTTAAACCCTTGTAGCAAAAACAGAATGTATTGTAAAGTAACAGTCTTCATATAAATTGCAATTGACAAAACAAGATTGTCGTGTTTAGTTTATTATGTGATAATATTTCCAATGGATAGAATCATGCTGGCGGTATCCGCGGCTAACCTAAAGGCACTGCTCTTTGCTGTTTGCAAATCAACGTGCATATCTTTCTCCACCTCCTTTCTCGTTTCCTCATTACCGAAACCATGCGCACTTGTTTTAGAGTAGATGTCGCCAGAGTATCCCAAGTCGGTGAAATCACCTCCTACGTCTGTCACGTCAGAGTGACTCATCAGTTTACATGCACAACGATGGTCAGCATCAGTGGCAGTGGTAGTGTTGTCTGCCTGTCCTGCCGTCCAGTGGTGCCCGTGTACTGAGTCCGTCTGGTGTTCATGGCTTTCTACTGTTACCCTAGCAACTGCTTCCAGGCTTTTTGTGAACGCTGCACACAGTGTCAGAATCTGGGCGTGGCTGCATCGAAGCTCTTTCGAGTATTCGCCAGTTTTTCCATTCATCTATAAACATGACAGAGTGAAATTATGAAACATACGCCCTCATGCATAATTACATTACAGGTAAGATCACGTGATTACGTAGACTCTATAACTTTTACATATTAGCTCTTTTATAACGGTTCATACCCATGAACGAATAAAATTATTTTTATATACTTTTTATTCCGAAGTCATTGAGATTTTTAGCTACGACCAGCAAATATAATCTTATCGTGGTTGACCTATCATCTCTACCTGATTCCTTATGAGAGTGGCAAGGTGTGTTTCAAGACAACCACCACCCACCAAAACTGCACTACTGTCAGGCAGCAACTGGTACAGTGTGTGGTGCACCGTATCCAAAACAACCTAGAAATACGTGTTAGAAACAAAAATTCAAGTTAATAATAAACTCATTTTTGTTAACATCGTAGCTCTGCCATGATTTTCATTCTGATTTTTAAATATTTTACATTTACAATGTGTGATTGACTGTATCCAAAACAATCTGGGGGAAATATGTAAGAAAACTCAAAACTAGTTTAGCTAAAATTCAAGATCTGCAAAAATTTAACTATTCTTAAATAACACTTAACAACAGTAACGTTTATCGTTTATAAAAAAAAATTTAAGTTTTAATATAAATTTAATTTTAGTCTAATTTTTGTGTTATTGACAAGATATTAGTTGACAAGATATTGATTTACCTTTAATTCTTCTAATGCTTCCTCCTGCAAGTTGCATATCACTAAAGTCTGCACACGCGTTCCATTAGCTGTCAGGTGCAGATAGCTTCGGTCCCTCTGAACCACGTGTTCAATATTATTGAGGTAACCATAGCAACAGTTGGGATTACCAGGATGAAGAGAGCTGATCAGTGAGCCACCTGCAAGTGAAATCATCGACATGTATAAGTAGACCAGAACTCAGGGTTCACAAGCTGCTGACTGAAATACGAGGAAACGGCACATAAAATTGTTAAAGATTTCTGCAAAATAGGAGTAGCTGTAGCTTCTTGATTGGTGCGTGCTACACATGTATGCATTTCTCGCTAATCTGACACAGTTAGATGCAGCTTGTAGAATGGCATGAGCGACCGTCCGTCCGTCAACAATATGGGCACAAATCTAAATGGCTTGACGTACAGTGGTGATATTCATGATGTGGGCGGGGGGAATCCGAAAAGACAGTGGGATGTCGAATCACTCTATCTCTCTCTCCTTTTATCCCTACCACCCTCCTCTCTCTCTCTCTCGCTCACACACACACTCATGATATCGCTATCTACCCCCTCTCTCCGTCTCTCTCCCCTCTTGTTCCTCTATCATGTGAGAACTGTTGTTCTGTGGCACTAGCATGGCTGAGACGCGAAATTACGGGAAGGCACATTTCAGCTATGACTTTCTAACGTCCCATTCTTCTCGCTTTAGCACTGGCACAGACAGTCAGATGAGCACTGTCACTCTGCGGCACTTCATTGCATGTATACATTCACTGACCTGTTAGTGTCTCCATACCATGTATGTAGCGTATAGACAACCTTTCTAATGCGTAAACGCCTCTTTCTTCTAGATATTCCTTTACCTGAAAATGCCAGGTATATTAAGCATATAAAAGTACATGCAATATGTTGCCAAATTTCATGATTTCAGTGAGGAACTTATATGGTAACCTCTAATGACCATAACATCAATACAGACAAATTATGACAACGTATGAAATTTTAGGAAAAACTTACATAGTGTACAATACTGAGTCCATGCACTCAAATACAATTTTGTAACCGATACACTTTACGATACACAATACCGACCGATACGTAACATGTAGTCAGAGTATTCTTCTATGTGTTATGTACAAGTCTGTTTACCGAGATGTGGATGACCTTTTGACATGAAACCAGTCCGATTCCATCGTCAATCAGACGATCCATCAGTTCCTTGATGTGAGCAACAACAACTTGCTCCTTGGAGAGATTGCGGCCAAGCTTGTACTCTACGCTATAAAACTGATCGCTATCTCCCGCAAGCGAAGTGCTGAACACTGCAACCTGCAAATCGTAAAAGCATTCTTTAGCTGTGCAACACTGGTTTCTGCACAATGCGTAAAAATGAACACGGAATCGATTGTACGGCTGTTAATTCCAACCCGACCTTGATTCGACCTTCCGGCGTCAACTTCCACTGCCAGGTGGATGGCACGTCGTGGCATATCTCCGGAGCTTCGACTAGCAGGCCATCCAGCGAGTGCGTGTCGCTGGCAGACTTGCCATCTACGCAGCAGAAGATGACGCAGCCGTCAGTGGCTGCCGTCGATCCCCCCTCAGGTAGGCTGCGCAAAAACACTCGCACCATCAACAGTGCGAGCTCCTTTCTCTCCTTTCCGTCTAAGATGCAAGCCGGCTTGCTCTCGATTAATGTCTCCACTACAGCTAACACCTCTCGCAGGTGACTAAAGTCCAGTGCCAGTCGGCAGCTGCACGCCGCTGCTTTCTCCAGGTGATCCAAACAGAGCTGGCAAGCTTTGCGCACGAACGCGCTGCATAACATCTGATTCAGACCAGTGTTTGTCATGTCCAGCACTAGCTGTGAGGTGAGTAGGCATGCAAACAGCCCAAAGTCGCTGTACAACTGCAGGTGTGCCTGAACGGCTGCAAACAGCAGCTGAACTATTGGATGAGGTCGAGGCAGGTTGGCGATTAGTCGCCGTGACGACGTTGTGACGGTCATGTGACAGCCCGCCTTGACCTGAATCACTTTCAGCTTTCCGTGAGGGCCGTAACATGACTTCACAAGGGTATTCAGAGATAGTAATTCTTCACGTATGTCAGTGCTACTCAACGCTTGCCATTTTATGTCCGGCTTTGATTCATCTAATTCCATTGCAGTTCTTTATTCTGTAAAATGACCGCAAAAACAAAATTTACGTCTCTGTTCTTTGGAATATGTTGCCTTTGAAGAGATATTATGCACAAGTGCTATGTTGAAACTGCTCTTCAAATTATAACTTGTATGGCCTTCAATTACTACATAAATCATTATGCCCTGTACAATTGCTTGTTTCCTTTCAAATGCTCGCAATTTAAAGGGTGTGACTGTTATCTTTCAGGGTACAGCTATATAATTAATAGATATAATCCTGTGTGTATATGATGATTTTGCAAACTGCAATGAATGACATTAAACTAAATATAATTTTTTCACTCCTATTAAAAACAGAAATGTAGCATTTAAGGTAAGCAACTACAATAACATGCAATGTGAAAATAAAAATATCATCTGCCTCAATAACGATAACATTTTTATAATATATAACACCTTAGAGTCTACTGTTCTGCAGAGGTCACGTCAGGGTTACTCTCATGTTCCTTGTGTTTCTTTACTTCATTATATATATCAATGACCGGTAGAGGGCGCTTGCGCTCTTTAGGTACAAACATTTCTACGTCCTGTAGTTCGTTCCAACCCCAGTGCAACAAGCCAAGACCAGGAACCATCACAAACCAGAACCTATATTCAACATAAGACAAAATAATCATGTCAAACATTGATATTGGAGGTGTTTCACATCTTTGAATGGATTGGTGGTATAATGGCATTCACTACATTACATCAAATAAAAACAAAAATCATTATCAAGAACACTCAACAAATATTTATATATGACATTATACTTTCATAGTCATATTTATACCATGCACTATCTCTGGTATAAACCCTTATTGCTTATGTACCTACGCTCACTATATACCTTTATATTTGCATACAAAACCTACACATCTTATTTACAAGTGGTAGCAAGGCTTTATAATTTCACGCTAGAAGTACCTATATATTTACAGCTGAATCCAGAACCCTATGTAAGACCCCTAAACGTAACCCTATCTATAACCATAATCTCGAATCTAGCTTATACATAACTTCAACCCCAAACATAATGATATTCATAACCAAAATCCTATGCCCATAATTGAAATCAAATGGTCTTGGCAAAGGATCAACAGTGTGGATATTCTTCCGAGCATCGGAAACTCGTTCGGTCGCGAAATTTACATTTGAATTATGATACAGATTACAGTTATTCAAGGGATAGCGGATCACACTAACACTTATATTAATTCCTGCAAAATGCCTGCATGTGCTTTCAATTAGCAAACATTCAAACGGTAACATTCGTTTTTACCAGGCTCGTTTACTTTTGATTAAAAAATTAAAATGCAAACTTTTGATCCGCGGTATACCTTATCTTATCATGATCCGTTATCCCTTGAACTTTGAAGGCTTCATGATTCGTAAATGTAATGAAGCAGTGTCTGTGTTAGTCCGAGCCGACGCAGACCCCAGTAATGGGTAAACCCGCACCCTCAGATTAGCAAAGCGGAGTTTACGTCTGCATTTGCGGAGTGACTGTCACTGTGTAGTCTGCGATAAATACCTGTATTTTGACCAAATTTGCCGGAAGCCAGCCATGTTTCTGTCCTAACTCAACAACTTGTTGGAAACTTCTGTAAATTGCTATGTAAAGCGCATATATGTATTTACTTTATATTGCAACCCACATACTAAATTGACATGAGAAGTCGGCAATGTTGTCTCCTTGATGGAGGTTGACATGTTTGCCTGACTTAAATACACGATAAATAATTCACATCAAACACCAAATATAAATTTCTAGTTTGATATTAAAAAGTATTAAATAAACAGGCTGAAGTTAAGACTTTAGTTTATTAATTTATAAGATTGAGTCATAAGATTGAGTATTATTTTTTAACGTAAAAGTCGTATTTATCGGCATGATACAAATTTTCTTACCAGTAGACGGCAGCACAATACCATTTATTTTTCTTTGGCAACATCATGTGTAAAATATACTTATATATTTGTTGTAGTTTACTAATTTTGGCGGTAAACTTATTGGAACATGTTAATGTAAGTGATATTATACGTTTATAGCATTCCTGTTTAGCACAATGTGGCATATAAATTAATTTCTTAGGGTTGGCAACGTCAATTGCACAACTACTGTCAGTGTCACAAGTTCTGACTACTCCGCACTCGGTCTACTGTCGCCAAGCCCACACTCGCTGACTCGGTCATTGATTGAGTCAATAAAGTTGTTCTTCTTATACTTATACAACACGCAACACAGTACTTAACGGTACAAGTAGCGTTTACACACCCATGTCGTGAGTTTGGTTAGGGTTAGGGTTAGGGTTAGGGTTAGGGTTTTTAAACCTGGGGTTGTCAAATAGGAATGGGCCGTACTTAACCACACACGTGACACAGGTTCACGGTTCAGACTCCAGACTCTGCTCAAAACTTGCCAGCTAAATGATGAGCATTTCCAGCAAGTAGTTCAAACTTCAAGTTGCCTGGATCCTGTCTTAAACACAAAAACAGCAGACCGGTCACCATGGCTACACCACTTGAAAGAATGGCACAAATACACGACAAGACCAATCTCACTTTTCATGAACGACAACAGTGTACCGCAATTCAGTTTAGATGCTCCTTTGCAACACACAATTTTACCGAACGCACACCACTGTGCGCAAACGAATGAGAAAGATAGAGCAAGTCGGAAAGCGTGAGCGCCAAATTTGCACAAGGCTTGCTTTGTATCACATCAGAGGAAAAATACACAAACAATCGCTTTCATTCTGGTATCTATGTGTAACTCTTGCTGTGATTTTCACCCTATTGCTAGCCTTCTTACTGTTATGAGTCTGGGCAGCTTAAAGGATTTATTACGAGATTCTTGCTCAGAAACACTCAATTCGAAAAAACTCTAGCAAAATATAGTCTCACCTCACGGTAGATATATTACTGATTACACCAACTTGTAAAATACTAAGATTTTATGCAGTTATATACGATATGAACCCATCGTAACACTGAAATTTTATTGTGCCGGGACACTGTCAAAATGGGTAAACTTGTAAATTGTAGGTAACAAAATTGGAAACACATGCATTTGAGAGAGATGTATATCTCTATGGGAGATAGGTGGTGCTATTAGCGGGTCCAAGACAGTACGGGCTCTTGTTCTAGATTACAGCAAACTATCAAGTTTTCCAAACTAGTTCGAAACTTGCATGTTTTGGTGAATACGAAGATTCTAAGACATTTTACACATTACTCTAGACAATTGCTGTTACTCAAGCATTAACGGTAGGTATCGTAAATGTGACAAAAACGCCAGATTTTGCTCGAGAATATGGCTTTAAGCCAATTATTGCATTGAAGTCTGACAATGAATATTGATATGTTTCAGGCAAGTGAGGAGGAGAGCCGGTGTAAGTGCGTTTGCCCTAGTCCAACTATTGTAAATGGCACGGAAACTAACAAGACAGTGTACACAGTAACGAAAATCCCTGCAGAAGAATGGTAACTACCAGCAGCTATATATTATGTTATAATTACTCTGTAATGTAATCCCCATATATCAGGGTATTAATTTTTTATGACACTGAAAGTGTGAGGTTTGCTAACTAAATCATCTTTATTTCTACTATATACTATAATCAATCGTATGCTGATTAAATTGCATAATGTTGTCACTAGCATAATTATTGCATATATTATTATTTAGATTTTGTTTGTAATTAAAGTGTTTTAAATCGTTTGTTTTATAGTAAATGTGGCATAGTCGTGGAGATGGTTCCAGAGCTGCATGCATCAGTCGGTGATAAAGTTAATGAATTTTGTCCAAGATGTGAGTGCAAGTTTGAGAGCAGAAACCCAACAACTATAAAGGTAATAAAGGAGAAAGTAATGAAATAAGAATTGGGTGAAAATAATTGTTGGTTGGCTTGATGTGTTTTATTTTTGAAACTACAAACGTTATGTATTTTTCAAGGATTTTAACTGCATAAAGTGTAAACTAAATTTGTATATAATCTCACTGAAATGAATATTGCATTCTTTTAAAATTATTAGGTATGAAAATGTGTCAGTGTGTTGTGCACAGTTAAATACTTTCATAGTGCAATTCTAAACAATGGCAGCACAACTACTGACCATTGTGCAACTGGTATTGTAACATAGTGGCTGAATAATCACATAAATGTAATGATAAATTACAAAAATAATACGGCTGTGTTCGTGTAATTAGTTATGTGATGAACATGCCTTTACAATATAGTATATGTTGTAACTTGTATAAATACATTCATTAGTCTGTTAGTATGCAAATGATCTGCCATCTGCACAGAAGTGATGTGTACATATTTCTGACGCTTGCAGGTTGTTATCATTATCATTATATGCATCCTGTCCTTCCTTCTGATATACATGCTCTTCTTGCTGTGTCTGGATCCACTGATGACAAAGAGGGGAATTCGCTACAGCCAGCAGCAAAATGAGGAGGTGAATTTGGTAATTATTTGGCTTGGCTTTGTGGCGTGAATAGTTGCACCAGTGCTTTATCTGTATTTGAATGGATCTCTCCACTGCTTGTCTAGATTGAAGTCACTTGCAAGGCTTGCAAGAGGGTTTGCCATTCAATTGTGTGCCAGGTGGCTGCTTTCCCTGTCTAAACAAATTCTCACGACTGATTTATTACTAATGATTCATGTGATTCACACTAACTATTACTAAAATTAGTTTATGCATGAAACTAACACATCAAAATGAATGGTTAACCACGTGCTAAGTGCCGATAGTTTACTATTAAAGGAATATCACGGTCTGTAAACTTTGCTACTTGATCTTTTCCATAACTTACGCTTAGTTAATTCATTAGTGCAAAGGCATAAATTCAATTTGAGTGCATTGCTACCCCAGCATGCTAAATGTAATCATGGCACATCATTTACAAATGTGATACCCATATACATTGTAAACAGTAAATCTTGATTTTAGCATAAAAGTCGTGGTGCACGATAAGGGAATGGCACATACAGCCATAATTCCTGATCATCAACACTGATATGTAGTATCCAAATGATGAGCAATAGCTGATGCCACAGCGTGAAATAGTAGCAACACAATCACGACTAGCTGTTACTGATTTCATGGGTTACTATAGCTTGGAAAGCCCGTTCTATAGTTACAGGTGCAATGTACCTTCACCAGCTATTAGAACACTGGACAGGTTTAGCATAAGTTATGCTACTACAAGATGCCATTTACCTGTAGCCACCATTTGTGAAAGGGAATTTTTCTACATGTAAAGGGTTAGGAGGGGCTGATTCAGCTGTCATAAGCTGCCAGTACAGTGTGGCCCTGGCTGCAAGCGTGCATGGTAAACCAGCCAGCAGGCTAGGATTACCAGCACCGTGCATGTACATACATACATACATACTATGAGTTAATGAGACAAACATACATACATACATACATATGTACATACATCCATACATACGCACAAACACACACCCACACACACACAACACACGCAAACATGCGAACACGCACACTCACACGCACACTCACACGCACACGCACACGCACACGCGCACACACACACACACATACACACATGTAGATGTGAGGCCTGTAAGTAGGCCTGTAAAGCCTCGTAATTCCTATAAGGTCCTCATAGTTCTGGTGATCTCCATAACATCCTTAATTTTGAGGGAATTCTAATATATTTTCCTACGTTTTGTTATTGTTTAGTTCTTTTATGTTATGTGCTGAAATGCATTTTGTGTAAAGCTAAAGCTGTCAGGTTGTAATGGTGGTCATGGTGGTGGGATATGCTTGAGCAGTGGACATCTTCACACCTAAAATACTTTAGATTTAAATACAACAGGGTGACCCGTATATATATTTTATGGAAATTCTCTATGTTTTCACAGACTTTCGTTGTTTCCACCAATTAATTGTTTCTAAATTATGCCCTGAAGTCGATTGCAGAGCAAATACAAATATGTGCATTTGTGGTGCAACTGCTGCGAGCCGGTCGGTGGTGGTGGTGGTGGTGGTGGTCAATCAATTGTGGTGGTGGTGGTGGTCAATCAATCGTGGTGGTGGTGGTGGTGGTGGTGGTGGTGGTGGTGGTGGTGGTGGTGGTGGTGGTGGTGATTAATCAATCGCGGTGGTGGTGGTGGTGGTGGTGTTGGTGGTGAGGCTTCAGTGTTACTGTTATACTGAATAACATCATAATATATGGTGTAACAGCATCAACAACGAAACAAACTATATTCGCATCCAAATGCATTTTTTTATGCAATCATGGCCTCTTACTTGGGCTCGTAGGGTCTATGTCCTCCTGACCTCTGTTTGACCTGGCTCGTTTAGCTGTTTCTGACTAACCCTAACCCTAACCCTAACCCTATATATATTATATATTATATATATATATATATATTAGTCAGAAATAGCTAAACGAGCCAGGTCAAACAGAGGTCGGGGGACATAGACCTTATCTGCCTTACTTGGCCTACGTACCCTGCATAATCTGGGCTTTCATGCCTTTGGCCCACTTTCCATTTTCAGGTGCAAATGGTGTCACATGTTTTTTCTGTAAAGTAATGACGCCTAGCCAGTTTACTTAGCATGGTAAGGTGTTTAGCACAAGTTGAGGGCAAAGGCCTGTGTGAATCGAGTGGGTCTGTTAATAATTCCATAGGACTTGCGCGTGTGCTACGCAGTTGAGCTAGATTATAGTTGATTTAATTTGAGATCGTCTAAGCAAGTTAAATTTGCCCGTGCAGGATTATTAACGTATCCAGTGGTGGTGAAACTAAACACGTCTTTTATACAGCATGATTCTGATGTCCGCGACCTTGACATAGACTTTTATGGTGTTGATAATAATGAAAATCTGGTAAGTAGGTTCGTGTATGATTGGTTTAACAGTACGCGTGTTAACTGCATATCAACTAGGTGTGCATGTTGCTAACTGCTACTAAAACTAACAAACGTATGCGTGCATATAGTGTGATTGATCGTCATATATGTGTTCTAACCACAAAATGTTATATGTGTGTGCATACGTAGCATTGATAACAGTCTAAACAGATTCTGCATAATTTTAATGAATTTTTTCATTTTCACTTGTATATATCTAATAAATTGCTGCTAACTAAAGCCTGGCGCACATTGCCGAACATTTTCCTGAACAAATGTTTGTCCGAACAAATGTTTTTGTCTGGCAATGTGCGGGTGGACAATTGCTGAGCGCACATTGCCGAACATTTTGCAGCGAACAATCTCGTGGCGCCGTCTAGTAGCTGTGTTGTAAAGAGTCACGTGATCGGCGCATGATTGGGCAAAAAAATTATGTGACCACATATTGTGCTGCTATTGGTTACTACTTTACAAATGTTCCTAGAATTGTTCGACATTCAGCGCACATTGACGAACATTCGACGAACAATGTTCGAGATATCAAACATTTCCGATCTTCAGAAACATTGTTCGGAACAAATGTTCGGCACCTTTTTTCACCGCACGTTGCCGAACATATCATGGAACATTGCTACGATAATGTTTTTGAGCAAAATGTTCGGCAATGTGCGCCGGGCTTAACGTGTTTTGTGGGTTGTTGAAGTAAATATGTTAGTGTGATACAATCCGTTTTGTTGGAGTCATTGTGGTGTCAGTATAGGATTGCTGTCTGTTATAACCAGTAAATGTTTTAAACCTGGTATAGGTCATAATGTGGTCAGGGAAAAAGCGAGTGAGATAGATAGTGAGAGTGAAAAAGAGAGAAAGAGTGAGAGAGAGTGAGAGTGAGAGAAAGAGAGAGCTTCAGAGTGAGAGAGAGAGAAAGAGAGAGGGAGAGAGATCGAGTGTGTGTGTGAGAGAGAGAAAGAGAGAGAGAAAGAGAGAGATAGAGAGAGAGAGAGAGAGAGAGAGAGAGAGAAGGGTCAGAGTAGGAGTTAGAGTGGGAGAGAAGGGTCAGAGTAGGAGAGAAGGGGAGTGTGTTGTGCGTGTGTGCTTGCATGTGTTTCTATGTGAGGGTGCAATTGTGCACGTGCCTTTTAAGTTTGCCTACGTGTGTGAATGCGTGAAACAGAGATAGAGAGACATAGAACAAGAGAGAGAGAGAGCGAGAGAGAGAAATTAGAAAGATACAGAGTGTGAGAGAGTGAGAGAGAGACAGAAAAGAAAAGAAAAAGAGAGAGATTCTAATGGGAATAGGGGGAGGAGAAAGACAGCACGAACGAGAGAGAGGGGAGAGAGTGTGTTGATTAGAGTTGGAGAGGAAAAGTTTGAGAGAGGTGATGAGAGCCTGCTAGAGTATGGCAGAAGTTGTTAACTCTGACATTGCTCACAGGACGAGCCGGAGAGGGTGTGCCGTCGTCCGCGCCCCGACACAGTTCTTAATCGCGTCGGCAACCAGAAGGAGCGTTGGAAGTCACAAGTGCAGGAGCAACGGCGCAACGTCTTCGACCGGCATTCAATGCTGAACTAACCACGCCGAGTCGCCGCCGATAGAGGAAAGAAATATCCGTGAGCGTTCTCTGTCAGCGTATAAAAAAGTGGTCACGTTCCCGTTCAGCAGTTTACTGATTTTGTGTGAAGCGATGAATCCACCGGTGTTGTAAATAGGGTGGATGGCGAGGAAATCGTCCTCACCTATATGTATGTTACCTGTATGTTCCTCATGAATGTTTGCGTTGAAGATGCTTGTGCTTAACTTACTTGTCACATACAATAGCCTTTCCTGTTCTTTTTTGCAGTGTTTAAAAATTTCATGACGTTATGCAGGGCGTTATCATCGTTATCTCTTGCTCAGTGGTTGAGAATCTGCAATTCCGAGGAACCTTGCTTAGTATCTTGCTTATCAGTAGCCCCTAAGCGTGATCTTACGTGTTGGGCTGATAAGTTTGGGGTAAATATACCTGTAGGTACTGTCTTTCACATTAGTGTGGTTAGATAACCGTGTTTGAAAATTTGATCGCAAGATTTTACTAGGAAAGTTTGAGTGGTAATTTATTTAACTACATTACATGTTTATTGCATCAGCTAACGTGTCATTAAAGGTGACTTTTCCTACACTGTCACATATCAATGTAAAATCTTTGCTTGTGGCATGTGTTTAAAATGAGCTAATATAGATGAAAATAAGAAATGGAAGTGGAATGATTGATTCTTCATATCAAAATTAAATGCATGAAGTGTAGCATATCATCAGGAGTAAATAATAATATTATTATATTAATTTTATTTATAATATATAATATTATAATAGATTATTATTATTCTATAGACTATAGATCTATTAGATATTATCTAATAGACTATTATTATACACTCCTGATATCATGGTGCCCATATATAATTGGTAATTTATTTTATGAGCTAATACAATAATTGTTCAATTATTGTTCTCTTTCGTTTGACACTTCATGGAACCAAGTTTAAATCTGGGTATAAGTTAAATACGTTATTCTGATAATAAATCACCAATGTTCATCCAAAAATTATTGCACGTTAGTTTGTTATATGCTTTTGAAGAGTGGAAATTTAGCCCCTTTCCAAAACAGTCAAATTCTGCCAATAGCATGGCTCTGAGAAGCTTGAACCAATCACAGGGTTCCATTCCAACGTAATGGCAGTCCCACGATTTGTTGTTGTAATAACGACGAATCTCTCTCTATATATATCTATATGTATCTATATATATCTATATGTATAATAATTATATATAGATCAGTGGTAATAACCATAGACGAAGAATAACAAGACACGACACTGCGTTATCGGGGTGTCTAGTGGCGCCACCTTGTGTTAGGTGACTCCTGTTGAAACTCTAATTTGTAACAATGGAGGTTGCTCTGATATCAATGAAAATTTTATAATTATGAAAGTGCTATTGACAACCATCTTTAGAAAAACTTAATAAAACTCGAAATACCTCTCCGTATTCCTTTCTCCGCTTCTTATGTCTTTCCTTTATTCACCTCGTTCTTGTCCTCACTATTTTCCTTCTGTCACTCTCCTCCACACGGTCTATCTCACTTTCTCACGCTGTCGCCCAATCTCTCTCCGTGCTCCTGGGTAGTCGTGATATATATATATATATATATATATATATATATATATATATCATTCTCTTTGTCTATACAGGGTTCGTAGCTGAATTTACGCCTATAATACACGCGCACGTGTGCGTGCGACCATACCCGCGTGTGCGCGTCCGTTAGTGTGTATGTGTGTTTGTGTGACTGTAAAAACGCGTATTATAGCCGTATAATCATATTTTGTGCTTTGGGGGTGAAAAAATTGAGGCTGAAAACAAGGCATTTGCCTGGCTAACTTTTCACCGTGCACTGATGCCGTGGACGATACTATCTGCGAGAGGGGGAAGGAAATACTGATGGGAAGGGATCGAGTGAGAGGGGAGGCGGAAGGGAAGAGGAGAGAAAGGAGGGAGGGGCAGAAGGGGGGAGGAATGCAGACGGAGATGTGCACACGCATGCGCAGACAAATGCACGTACGGCACGTACGGAACACACGCATGCACGCACGGATGCACATATTCCTTCTAATATAGTTACTTCTCTCGCCTTGTCGCTGACCCTCTCCTTCTCCGTGACTCACTCTCTCTCTCTCTCGCAATATTTCTCTTCACGCACGCACGCACGTACACACACACACGCACGCACGCACGCACACACACACACACACACACACACACACACACAGCAAACGCCCGGGCTCTCGTTCTGCTCTTTCTCTTTCACGCATAACAACATGATACTAGTTTGTTTGGATGAAAATCCTCCCCCACAATGGCACCCTAACTCCCGCTCCTCCCCTCCCCGCTCCCGCCCCCTTTCTCACGCGTCTCCCCGCCCCTTCTCATCCCGTCTGCCCGTCCGCGCCGTTCTCCTCCGTAGCCATCCACCGCACACCTGTGCCCCTCTTCCAATAATGTACACGCGACTTTGATCACATTGCACATTTATATGCGATCCCATTGTAAATGTTGTGTGTAACCCGGAACGAATTATCTAAATGTATTATAATACTCTAAAAAAGCGTATTTAACGCTAGCAGTGGAATTAATATAATTACAGTACCATATACAGGAACAACATTTATACTGGATAAGATTGGTAAAGGTTGGCACGTGAAATTCTCATCCTACACTTCGATGTATTATTTAAATAATGTTAGGCAGTCCGACTTTGGATCAAATATGGACATCCTCTCGCCATTTATCCGGTAGAAATAATTTCATATGCGCAACATTGTGATATCTAGGTGGACGCCGACGCCATTATTGCAAATACACTACATCGAAAGTGTAGGATGGGAATTTCACGGCCCAAACCGTACCAATCTTATCCAGTAAATGTTATTGTGTATAGGTACTGCTGGTAATTATATTAATTTCGCACTACGTAGGTACAGCAAGCTAAAAGCGGAACGTCGTTAAATACGTTTTAGAGTGTTATATATATCTTTAATAACTGGCATTTAACGGTTCCCACACATAACATACAATGTGGCGGCAGTAATGAATATATTTCTACGGCGATAGATGACGCGAGAATGTCATAGATTGATCATATGCGCCTGCTACAATTATTGAAAGACATATCATCGAAGTGTTAGGATGGGAAATTTCACTCGGCCAACCATCTTATCCGATCTTATCCAGTAAATGTTGTATTTGTAATATTACTCGGTAATTAATATTAATACGTCTTTAGAGTACATGAATAATACACCTTTAATAACGTGCATTTTAAAGCGTTACCACACAAACAACACACATGTGCACATATTGAATATTTCTACCCGATAGCATGACTGCGAGGGAATGTCATACTTTGGACGTAACAATGATATCCCCACTGGGGCCATCCCCTACTCGCCACACATCCTCTCCCGGCTTCCGCTCCCCGCCCCCTTCCTCACCGTCCCCTCTCCCGTACCCCTGCCGCGCGCGTGTACCCGCGAGGGCCGACCTCGCTTTGGGGAGAAGGAGGACGGGAGATTAAGGTATATCGCAAAAACAATAAGAGTAATGATACGAAGAGTGGATCAGATAGATAGATAGAATAGATTAAGATAGATTAGATAGATAGATAATAGCGCCATCCGATAGATAGTATAGATAGATAAGATTAGACTAAACAGATAGATAGATAGATAGATAGATAGATAGGGATAATAGATAGATAGATAGATAGATAGGATAAGATAAGATCAGATAGATAGAGTATGATAGATAATAGATAGATAGATAGATAGACTAGATAGATAAGATTCATAGACTAAGATACGATAAGATAGCTAGGCTAGATATGATAGGATATGATAGATAGATAGATAGATAGAATAGATAGGACAGATAGAATAATAGATAGAGAGGAGTAGATAGATAGATAGAAATAGATGAGATAGATAGCTAGACTAGAGTAGATCGAGAGATAATATAGATAGACTACGTTAGAATAGATAGATAGCATAGATAGATCACGATAGGATAGATAGAGTAGATAGATAGATAGATAGAATAGATAGGATTGAATAGATAGGCTAGCTAGATAGCTAGATAGACTAGATTAGATAGATAGAATAGATAGATAGATAGATTAGATAGCAAAGATAGATAGACTAGATAGATAGAGGGATTGATTAGATAAGATAGATAAGATAGATAGAATAGAATAGATATATAGATAGAAGATAGATAGATAGATAGCATGATAGATAGATAGATTAGATTGATAGATAGGTCCACGGCTTAGATAGAATAGATAGATAGATAGCTAGATAGATAAGATGATAGATAGATAGATAGACTAGATCAGATAGAATAAGATATGAGAGATTGATAGATACGATAGAATAGATAGATAGGATAGATAGAATAAAATAGATAGAGATGATAGGTAGATAGATAGATAAGGTAGATAGAATAAAATGATAGAATACGATAGATAGAGTAGATAGCATAGATAGATAATAAGATAGATAGATAGATAGATAGAATAGATACGATAGCATGGATATGATAGATTAGATAGATAGATGATAGAGTAGATAAGATAGCATAGATAGATTATAGTACGATAGATAGACTAGATATAGTACCGATAGATAAGAGAGAGAAAGAGAGAGAGAAAGAGAGAAGAGAGAGAGAGCGAGAAAAAGAGAGAGATGAGATGAGGGGAAGATAGACAAGAGAACAAGAAGAACGAGAGAGAGAGCGTGCAGAGAAAAGAAGAAGAGAAAGCAACGTAAGAGATATATCGGGAAAGAAGAGATGGCGAGAGAAGCTGACGTGGGAAGGGCCGTATGAAAGACGGAATACAGAGAGAGAGAAAGAGAGAGGCGAGAGAAGAGAGACAGTGAAAGAGCGAGTGAGAGAGAGAGATAGAGAGAGAGAAGAAACGAGAAAAAGAGAGCCGAAGCAAGAGGCGGGGAGAGATGTAAGCAGGTTGAGCGCGAAAGCGCACGGAGGAGAGAGAGAGAAAAAGACACGAGCAAGAGAAAGAGAGAGAGAGAGAAAGAGAAAGAAAAGAGTGGAAAGAGGAGAAAGAAACGCGGGAAATGAGATGGGTTGACTAACATACAATTTTTGTAATTCCACGTGACGTGCAATATAACGCCTACCTCCCCCCGGCCTTCTCCCTATACCTCTCCAACTGCCTCCTACTTTCTTCTCCCCCTACCCCCATCTTCCCTATCACACAATCTCGTTCCTTTCTCTTACTTTTCTTCTCTCTCTCTTCTTGTTTCTCTTATTAAATTTTCGTCTCTTGCATTCTTCTCCTTTCTATAATACCTACCGAATACCCAGTTTCTAGCAAAAAAAAAAATTCCGTCTATCGCGTAGAAAAACCCGTCGTTTTACATCTATATCCTATAGCATGTAACTAATACAACATAGTGCAACTCGCCACGACATCGATCCTGTCTGTCTGTCTTTGGCTATGCATTCCGCGGCCGTTTATTGGTTAGGGTGCCAAAGAGATATTCCCGCTTCATATTTTGTTTCTACTGTTTACGCCACGCGACCTATCCTTAGAATTAAAGTAAAATAATGTGATGTGGTGTCAGGATTTGCTATATGACGTCTTGTTCCTCACGCGTTTTCTCCGCCCGGGGAAACGCGGGCACCTCAAAGCTATGTAATCCATCCTGGGTTATTCCCATATAATTATTATACAAGCATCTCTCTATAATATTTTATCAATTC